GCTCGCTCGCTCGCCCGCTCGCCCGCTCGCTCTCAGGCTCAGGACGCGCGGTGAGCTCCAGCCCGCTGGGTTTCGTCGCCTTTCGGACCCCAGCCCCGTCCGCCCGGGCGGCGGTGGCCGCAGGATGGGGGACTCGGCGAGGGGTCGGGGCTGAAGATCGCGCAAGATTGTTGTTCTTTGCAAGGATGCCGGCGCTGCCTCCCGCCGCCTCTCCGCCGAGCCTTCCTCCTCCAGACCGGGGTGCGGAGTCCGGGATGTAAAGAGAGGGAGCTCCCGCCGGCGGCCGGGGAGACCCTCCTCTCCGCGGAGGGGAGGGGGATTTCCAGTGACACATCATTGGCGAAGGGGACCGTCGCCGGGAGAAGAGCCCCGGAGGAGGGAGCGGGGAATCCCACTGCCCTTTGTGGTGCCCGAGCCCTTGCCGCCTGCCAAGCGGGTCTGTTGGAGCTGGGTAAGTGGCGGGGGGTCATGGTCGCCCCAAGGAAGGAAGGAAGGGGGCTACCTTTCCGAATGGATGAGCCAGGGCAGTTGAGTTGCCAAAGGCATTGGAAACTGCCCTATGGCGCCTGGTGGACTTACACACAAAGCTGACATAACCCTGAGAGGGTCCTTAATGTGAGGCTCAGGCTCCACGGGGAAGGCACTCAAGGGTTAGCCCCTGAAAGGTTCCCAGCAGCCTGCCTGGGAAAGGATGGGGAATATTATTTCTAGGAGATGCGCTCTTGTAGCCTTCTGTTATTTGTTGGTAAATGCCACACTCACATGCACACACTTGTGGGACCGAGCTTGGGAGTGTGATGTGTCTGATGCACTCACAGTCCTCAGGACACCAACAAGCATTTGTTTTGTGCTGCAAGCTGAGTGAGGTCCCCATTCCATAGCCTGGTTCCTGGGAGGGAGGACAGGTCTCTCAGGAAAGCTTCATGGCTGTTTCCAACACGCTCTGCTAGGGGACTGGGGAATACAACATCCCGGAATGGCATCAAAAGACACCGACCATTTATTTGCCTCATCATTTGCTTCCTTCCAATGCTCAATCACCTTTTTTATGAAATAGTATGCTGCAATTCATCTCCTCAAATTATAAGCATGTATGCCCATTCATAAAAGAAAAAA